ATTTTTTGAGTTATATAAAGCTTGAAGTCTACAATTTTTTAACATAAAATGTAAAATATTTTGCAAAATATTCTTAAATATTTAAATAATCTAATCTTAATACTTTTATGCATGGAATAATGAGAGACTAATCAATTGGTGTAAAGAAAACACACAGTTGCTTTTAAGAAAAAGTACGCAGCTGCAAATTACTTGTTTAAAAAGCAACTGTTTTTTTTACATGAATATATTGATTTGATTATTCTGTGTATAAAAGTATTAAGATATAAGACTATCGAAAACTGAAAGTTTCCCAAGATATTTTATATTTTGTCAAAATATTGTAAACTTTAACAAAAATACTTAATTAATAAAAAATAACTTAATAAAAATGTTTTGGGGAATTTTCAAAATAAGCTGCAAGAATATGCTATAAAAATTAGAGATTCCATTTAAGAAATTGAAAATTTTTTTGTCTCCTTCAAAATAATTATCTAAGATCAAATCAATGGCACCATCTTATATGTCCCCCAAACAACTTTTGTCTAAAACCTTTTTCTCTAAAATGTTTTTTTGAGCAGATATTCCAGTGTATCCTTTTAAATGAGATATTTTGTTTACCTGAAATATCTCCGATTATTTTTAAAGATTACAATTTAAATGAAATATAATTTTTAATTTTTTAAAAATATATATTTTATGTTTTATTTATTTATTTATCATTTGTTTTATTATTTATTTCATTAAATTTATTTTATTATTTATTTATACTTATATAAATATATTTCATACTTAAATATAAATACACATACACATAATAAAATAATACATAAATAAATAATAAATAGTACAATAAAAATAAGAAAATAATCAATTCATTTACCTACTTTATAACTTTTAATATTGTAGCCAAAAATTATGTACAGTTTAAAATTTTCAGAAAACTATTTCTCATTATTTTTGAAAATCTTATTAAAAATAAAAATTGAATTTTTGAAATTTTAGTTTCAAATTTATTTTGCTTCTAACATTAATATTATATAATTAGTACTTTTCAGTTTAAATTATATACATAATTATATATATATTTGATACGTAAACATTTTTGTAAAATATAAAATAATTTAGTGTCGTAAAGTGAATTTAAATAAGACTTATAGTAATTTTAAATCGTTTTTACAAATAATTGCAATAACAGCTAGTTTGCTTACACTAAAAAATATCATTAAAACTTACTTTTTTGTTGTGATTTGTTGAGTCCGCAGTTTATATCACCTTGTTTTTATATTTCCTCGTTTTAAATATACATATATTGCATATATCCCATCTATATATGTATATATATATATATATGTATACAATTTTCTTACTTCACAGAAACTATTAGATCATGAAGTTGATAATAATGTTCTTTTTGTGCGAACGCTGTAACATATAATAATAATTTCACATAAAAATACATATTTTTGATAAATTAGCAGCATATAAATATAGAATGTGCCATATACATACAAAATTATATATTATTAACATTGAGGGTCTAAAATTACACATAATATAAACTTAAATATTTACATTTATATTTTTAACTGATTTGAAACATTAATATATATTTTTATATATATTTGTTATTTAAATCAATGCAAAGATGTGATTATAAACTTTACATGTAATGTAATTAAAAAAATTAAATTTTTTAAAGTTTATAATTGTCATAAATAATTTTATGTCTGTACAGAACATTCTGTATACATACAAAGTGTTCCAAAAGTCATAAATTTAAGAGCTCGTTAATCATGTTTTTAAGTAAAAAATGTCAATAAACTTATATTTGATTATCAATGTTACTGACATTCAAAACAGTTTTATTAATGCTAGGAATTCCATGATTCATCGTATTGTAATAAACTCCATATAATAGTTCTGCTAATCAAAGATAAGTTTATATTGACATTTTTTGACTCACAAAAACATTAACAAATCTTTAAACTTAACTGTATATCTTTTGGGACATCCTATGTATATTTAAATCACATGTAAAGATATAACTATGAACGTAAAGATATAATTATGAAAGATATAAATATATGTATATGATAATAAAAAATCATATAAGATACGTAGCATTCCCTGTTGCTTCAGTATGATATAAACGGAATGAATTATATTGATGAGCTGTGTACATAAGAAATAAAAAAAGACAAAATGTAAAAGAAATATCAAAATGTTAGTTTTTATTACAAATTATTTATACACACCTTGCTATACGCAATATTCCAGTTGTGTATGTGTGTCTTTCCTATGTAGATTGTTTGCAAAAATAAATTTATATTATGCTTTTTACATGGCAATACTGCAACACAGATAAGAATAATAAGTATTTTTAACCTTATTTAATAAACTTATGAGAAAATGAACTTATTGTGAGGTTAATTTGCATTTTTGAGGTTAATATCGTAATTATTAAGTATTAATAAAAAATATAATAAATAAAATTTAGCTTTTATAAAATACCTTTTATATTTAATTTATTTGAGAATAAGAAGTATTACCTGCGATTATAATCACAATCGTATCACATACGTAGCAAAGAATTACACGTTACACGTTACACGTACGTCGTCAGTGAAGAAGAAGGAAAAGACTTCTTCTTCTTCCTTTTTAGCAAAAATCAGCAGTTTTACTGAGTGCTGATTAGGCTGCCAGATTATCTTCTTTAAGAGGTTGAAATGAGTGTAAGTTCTTAATAGTCCGTATATACAACGGAACGCGCGGGAGAAAGAAAAATTTATTTTAGACGAAACACATCTGCACGTGTCGGTTTTGTCCTGTGGCAACTAGAAGGAAAAGACAAATGACGGCAATAGCGGAAATTACGTATCCAAAATGGCATACATATCCGCTCAAAAGTAAAATGCACGTAATTCAATAGTATATTATGAGAATATACGAAAAATAATATACTATAAAAGATATTAAAAGTAAATTCTGAGAATATAACGAGAATATACGAAAAAATAATATACTACACAAAATGGATTCTGATAATATCCTGAAGAATATAAGAAAAATAAATATACTACAACAAGATATTATAAAATGTTCTAAGTATATTACTACAGTACTACATTCACAGAATGAGTATAGAATATTCCGTACGATATCAATGTGCTGTGTGGGAAGAAATCATAGTTTCTACTGGTCAAACAATAAAAATGTATTATAAATTTGTTTGATTTTTATAATTAATTTGATTTTTTAAATTAATGTATTGCTAAAACATCTATGCTTGGAAGGTTGCCAAATTTAGAGATAGACATAAGCTTAAAGTTAATTTTCTGTATTTATTAAAATTATTAGTTACTTAAAATCCCTAAAGTTTCTGACGTAAATGCNAAATATGTTATAATATTGCACATATATACATATTAATAAAAGAAAACTTATTAGAACAAAATTGTGCATAATTTGAAAAATGAATAAATCTAAAAAAAGCTACTTAAATTTGAAAAATGAATAAATCTAAAAGAATATCTACTTAAATTAAAAAGGACGGATAATCATCATTATAAACGTTATCAACAATAACTCAAAACAAATATAAATTATAAAGATTCAAGAAAAGACAAGAAAAACTCAACGAAGTACTAGTTTAATCCTTTTCACTATTCAATGTTTGTCTCTGCATACGCTCTTTGGCATGAGCCAACCATATTTTTATTGGAGCTGAAATCTGTTCATCTGTAGCATTAATGTGCAATTTTCTTACTGCACCTGAAAAAGTTTTTAAAATTGTTTGTGAATTATTGATAAATAAAATTTCTTTAATTTTTTTTATTTTTAAGTTATAAAAATTGAAAAAAAATTTCGACTTGATTTCTACAATATATCTATACAGATGAGCGTTTAAACCTATTAATATATAATAAAACAATTGAAACATTTCTAAGTAATTTAATAAATAAATAAGTTATAAATATTTGTAAATAATTTTTTGATTGTGCAGAAATTATACAGCATTCTAATAATAAAATAGAAAAATTGTTTTTAATTTTACTTACTCATAATAACTTGCATATGTGCAATTTGGAAAAATTTTCTTTCTTTTTTGCTCCGTACCAACTATAATTTACGGCCAGTTCATTTGCAAAAATTATTTCATAAGACGTATACAAGAAGTCCTCAGATCCTGGCATGTAACATGGACTAATTGTTTTAACCTAAAATTGTTACAAAGAATGGAATTATTAAATATATAGATATTATAAGAAACTTTTATATAATAAAATTATCTATTCACATGTAAAAATACTGTAAATATATATCAATTTAATTATTCTAAAAATTATATAATATTTTAATAAAAAGTCTACGAAACTTATTAAAACATCTTTAAAAAGACATGATATAATTTAAAAAATAATATATAAAATTGCTAATGAGAGCAAAAGTTATAAATGTAAAAAAAATTTAATAATATTCAGATATTTATTAAATGATAAATGTTTCAGCCCATTTCCGACCATTCTCTTTATAAAAATAATTTAAATTAAAAATTAAACAAAAATATATAATTATCAAACGACATACTTTTATACCAGCATGCACCGAGATTTTTACTATATACTATTTTCTAACATATGTAAAATAATCGTGTACTTTCTTTAATGCTAATTAATTGTAAAAATTAACGCTTGTGTTCTGACTTCATATTCAATAATAATTTATATATTTTTTATTTCTAGATTAAATATTGTTTTGAGAGTGGCCCAAAAACATTTATCATTAAACAAATACCTGAATATTAATTATTCTTTTTATTATTTAACATCCATTAACAATTGTGTGACTCTCATTAGTCGTTTTATATTATTTTTGAATTTATTAGATTTTTCTTATTTTTGTATATAATTTCATATTGTAACGTTAAAATACACAAGACAATTAACTTACCATTTCATTTCGATATAATGAATCATTATTTAATTTGTTTTCCATTGATTGTAAATCAGTTTCAGTTTTTAACGGTAAATCTGATAGATATCTATTGTTTCTTTTTCTTTGGCTTCAAAAGTGTCGATTGAAATTTTCTTTAGAATAAGTTTTTGACATCTTTCTATAGAGTTTAGTTTTAATTCTAAACTTATAAGTTTATGGATGACAAATCGTTCGTACGGTTCAGATTCTATAAAAAATATTCAAAACATTTTGATTATATTTATAATATATCTCAAACACAGCATGTATTTTCAAAAAAATGTATAGAATAGAGAACAGGACGTTCTCTAAACACATTTTTTCAATATATGTACTATTAAAGATATATGTACAGATAAAATATTAAATATAAAAAATGTAAAATACATATGTGTGATGTAAGATGTATAAAAATAAAATATAAAATCTATATAATATATTAAAAAATATAAAAATGGTGTTAGAAAAATGTTAGGAAAATAGTTCAAGAATAAATGTGTGGGTGTGTATATACTATATAATTCTGAACTATAATCAAGTAATTGAAATAGAAATAAAGAATTATACATATACACTAAAATATATTATATTATATATATATATATATATATATATATATACCGGGTGAGTTTCTTAACCTGAGACTGCAAAATATCTGAAAAACTAAGGCTTCTATCAAAAAATGTTTCCTACAAAAGTTGTATGGCTGCAAGGGGGCCATAAGATAGTGACAATGATTTTACCTTAAATAGTCAGTTGAAGGTCATGTGAAGGTTCCCGTCAATTTCTTAAATAGAACTACCTATTTTTCATTGCATATTCTTGTAGCTTATCTCAAGAGCTTTCCAAAACCCTATAATAAAGTATTTTTTCATTATAGGGTTTTGGAAAGCTCTTGAGATAAGCTACAAGAATATGCAATGAAAAATAGGTGGTTCTATTTAAGAAATTGACGGTGACCTTCACATAACCTTCAACTGACTATCCAAGATCAAATCATTGTCACTATCTTATGGCCCCCTTACAGCCATACAACTTTTGTAAGAAACATTTTTTGATAGAAGCCTTAGTTTTTCAGATATTTTGCAGTCTCAAGTTAAAAAACTCACCCGGTATATATAATCGTAACTAAAAATAAATGAAATTATGTGCATTATACCTTGCTTATTAATCAATGAATTTGATGATGATGCCTTGTTTTTCAATTGAATTGGCATGTTTGCATTAACTTCATCGACTTCATCAAACAATTGTTCCGCGGATGCATCAAGCACATTTCCATTGCAATGCAGAGCTAAAAAAAATACGTCGTTATATTATTCCAGCATAAGTTTTGAAATTGAAAAAATACTAAAAAAAATTATTTTTAAAAAATATTATATTTTTAAAATATATAAAAAAATAATCATAACAAAATAAATGAAATTGTGCATTGTACCTTGCTTATGAATTGATAAATTTGACGATGTTTTATTTTCTAGTTGAATTGGAAATTGTACATAAACTTCATCGTCGGTTTCATCAAACGATTGTTCTACCGGTGCGTCAATCAAATTTTTATTGCAATGTAAAGCTGAAAATAAAATGTATAATAAAATTTTTATTAAATTATAAATGTTTATATAATAGTTTAATAATTATAATGAATAAGTTAAAATCATACATGAATCATCTGTTCCTTTTTCTATATTTGTGTTTATGTTTGCAAACTTCTTTATGTTGCTTCTTTGTGTTGCTGTATATTTTCTTTCCAAATTATTAACATCTGTAATTCATAAACGATGTTCTATTATTAAAATATTTTCTCTATTTAAATCTATTATTGTTATTTTTATATTATTATTAGATCGTACTTACTTTTTGATGCATTTTCTGTAATTTTTGATGTTTTACTGGTTTCTGCAGTCATCGAATGCTTGTTTGGAAACTTTGGAATTTCTGAGACTTGTATCATTTCGTCTAATGATTCATCAGTATCGTTACTTGTTTCGTCAACAATTTTAGCGGCTCTAATTTTTCTCGACCTTTTTAAATTTTCTTCTATATCAGGGCCAGAGTTAATGTCGGATAATTCTTCGGCATCTTTTAACTTTTTCCTTGCCACTCCATAGTTTTCTGAAAAAAAATTTTTAAATAAAACTTAGTAAATAATACAAATTTAATTTAATTAATTTAATTTAATTTAATTTAATTATATTTTCTTATATTACAAAATAGCTACATATATATAATGGCGGCCAGCTATATTTAATATATCGTAATTACGATTTTAACATAAAAAATTGAAATTTATGAAATGTGAGACATTAATTTTTTTAAAGGAATCTTGTTTAAAAAAATAAATGGTTCACATTTCATAAATTTCAATTTCAAACAGTTGGTCACCACTGTATATTTATTGTAAAAGAATATTTCAGAATAATATATACAAAAAAAATAACATTACTTACGAAATGTTCCATATATTTTTCGAATAGGATGCTCCAACCAAGTATATTCTGGCTCCTCCCTCAATTTAACTGCTTTATCATACCGCTTGTTGTTTGTAAAATTTGGCCAAAAAGCTTTCTTTAAGTCTCCACTTAACCAATTATTTGGTATAACTTGTAGTCCATCTTCGAATTCCACGATTGCATAAAATTTATCAGTCATTTCTGTGTCAATGAATATTAATTACTTCATTGTGTATTAATGGAAAAACTGCGTATTTAACATTTTCATATGGTAATTTGACATATTTTTTTATCACATTTTTCAATGGCCATGATTTCAAATCTGATAATGATTTTACGGAATAAACCCCAAGCAATGATGATGAGCAAGGCATATTAAATAAATCTTCCTTTTCCAAAAATTCGCGTCCAATAATAATTGGAATATTCTGTTTTTTGCAGTGTGCCACGTTTTCAATACATACTATAGCACCGCAATTTAAACCACAACAATTATCTGCATGTGAGCCAGTTTTAAATGTTATTCCGTTGACATATTTGATAATTTTATATTGTGGATTATTGCAGTCAAGTAAAAGTGGACCATCATCATGTAATGTAATTAAAGTGGGATATATCAGGATAGAATCTGACAAATTAGTCAATGTACTTAATCTATTTGATGTACTTAAATTTTCTTTTTCAATACATCTTCGTATTACTTGTTCCAAAGGTTTTTCTGCTTTTCTGAGGTATTTTTTAAACACTTGCATGTGATTCTCAAATCTAAACGCACTAAAATTGTCGAGTGGTCCAAATTTTTTTACATCGTCAACAAGATGTATGAGACTATGAATATTATGCGACACGTTTTGTACTCCATAAATCTTGATAAATGTTTTGATAAAAAAACGAATCATATCTTGTGCATACGATAAGTGTTCATCATACAAAGTTTTTGAACACAAGACTCTAATAATAACATGCAATGTCATAAAATGGGTGTACACACTTTTTTTCAATATTGAGTTGAAAGCCAATGGACCTGTATACAACAATATTTGTCTATATTCCGTAGCTTTCCATAATTTAATGTAATCTAATTTCCGTGGCTTTCTTACGAATTCTACAGGTATCGATGGCTTTAATTGAATTGTTAGACGTGTTGATATTTCTTCAATGGCTCTATGTTGTAGCCGATAATAGAATTCTCCATTCAACCATAAATACATTAATTTCCGCATAATTCCCAAACACACTAGGTGCATATAATCCATGGGAACATTTGTAACTGGTTTGAAATGAGGTATTTTGAGTAGACTGCATGTTATATCTGGTTTATGATAACTGTCATCAATTTTGTTAATAAAATCATTATCTGATCTAATTGGTGCATCAATTTGTGGGAAGCATATACGATTTCCGACATATTCTCCTTCTGTTGTGCATTTAGTGCAACTTGAATATCCGGAATGCCCTTTTACACATAGCATAAATGCTTTTGCCGGTGTATCACATATTAATGCTTCTATTCTGCATTGTATATTACGATTATTGATATATATTCCATTTTCACACATTTCTGCAGCCTCGTTCACAAAATCACTTAAAAAATCATTAACATTTGCAGGTTTTTCAGTTCCATGATAAATTCCTATTGTAAATACATTATTATATGGAAAAATTGAACCAAGTATGGGCCAAAATTGTTGTTGCGATGATTTTGAGAGTGGTAATCCATCGACATTAATAGCAATTTTTATACTGCTTCCAATATTGTTTTTCATGGAGGTTAATATATTCAACATAGACTTTTGCAATCCAAAATGATAGTAAATTCCTGGCTGTACTATACGTATATCTTATTTTCTCGGAGTTTTCAAAAGTGAACGTGCATCTAGAGATAATGATGAAAAACATGAATGTTTTTTTAATCTTTGAAGTAATGCTTTTAAAGCCGTATGTGAAATTTGATGTTGCACAGCCCAGATAGCAAGATCATTTTTCAAATTGTCACCTGTTACATCTGCATCTTCAGATGCTAAATCAGTTTGCGATTCATAAGAATCGCTAACAGAGGACTGTTGCATGTTCAATACATTGTTACTACTTTCGTTCCACTCGTGAACATTATAATTTTCGATTACAGCATTTTCAGCAGCTTGAATGTTTTTTACTTCTGAATTTACTTTAGAAACGTTTTCCAAATGTTCTGTGTATTTATAAGTAATGTTACTATATGACACTGTAGTCGTATTTAATAAAGCATCGTAAACAATTTTGGATTCTTGTACGGCTAATCTTTTTAAATGTCGTTTTGACACACATGCAGCGTCTTTTCTTGAACGCTTTTTATCCATTTTTTTTCTTTTCTGTTAACATATTGAAGCTGATAAATATATTAACTATAATATATAATTTAATATTTAATTATTACGTCGATATTATATACACACACACACACACACACACACACACACACACACACACACACACACACATACATATATATAAATAACATATATATTAATAAAATTGATATTATAAAATAAAATATTGCTGTTAAAATTATCAAAATATAATATTATTGGTAAAATTGTAATTATACAGGGTGTCCTATTTAAAAGAATACATTGGAATATCTGAAGGGAAAGTATTTTAGAGAAAAATATTTCAAACAAAAAAATTGTATGGCTTCAAGAGAGATATAAAATAGTGAGCAAAATTTGATTCTTTGGATAATTCTTTGAAGGTTACATAAAGGTCAATTTCTTAAATGGGTTTTACTATTATATTTTTTACTGAATATTTTTGTAGCTTACCTTAAGAACTTTCCAAAATACTAAAGTATTTTTTGAGTTATATAAAGCTTGAAGTCTACAATTTTTTAACATAAAATGTAAAATATTTTGCAAAATATTCTTAAATATTTAAATAATCTAATCTTAATACTTTTATGCATGGAATAATGAGAGACTAATCAATTGGTGTAAAGAAAACACACAGTTGCTTTTAAGAAAAAGTACGCAGCTGCAAATTACTTGTTTAAAAAGCAACTGTTTTTTTTACATGAATATATTGATTTGATTATTCTGTGTATAAAAGTATTAAGATATAAGACTATCGAAAACTGAAAGTTTCCCAAGATATTTTATATTTTGTCAAAATATTGTAAACTTTAACAAAAATACTTAATTAATAAAAAATAACTTAATAAAAATGTTTTGGGGAATTTTCAAAATAAGCTGCAAGAATATGCTATAAAAATTAGAGATTCCATTTAAGAAATTGAAAATTTTTTTGTCTCCTTCAAAATAATTATCTAAGATCAAATCAATGGCACCATCTTATATGTCCCCCAAACAACTTTTGTCTAAAACCTTTTTCTCTAAAATGTTTTTTTGAGCAGATATTCCAGTGTATCCTTTTAAATGAGATATTTTGTTTACCTGAAATATCTCCGATTATTTTTAAAGATTACAATTTAAATGAAATATAATTTTTAATTTTTTAAAAATATATATTTTATGTTTTATTTATTTATTTATCATTTGTTTTATTATTTATTTCATTAAATTTATTTTATTATTTATTTTATACTTATATAAATATATTTCATACTTAAATATAAATACACATACACATAATAAAATAATACATAAATAAAATAATAAATAGTACAATAAAAATAAGAAAATAATCAATTCATTTACCTACTTTATAACTTTTAATATTGTAGCCAAAAATTATGTACAGTTTAAAATTTTCAGAAAACTATTTCTCATTATTTTTGAAAATCTTATTAAAAATAAAAATTGAATTTTTGAAATTTTAGTTTCAAATTTATTTTGCTTCTAACATTAGTATTATATAATTAGTACTTTTCAGTTAAATTATATACATAATTATATATATATTTGATACGTAAACATTTTTGTAAAATATAAAATAATTTAGTGTCGTAAAGTGAATTTAAATAAGACTTATAGTAATTTTAAATCATTTTTACAAATAATTGCAATAACAGCTAGTTTGCTTACACTAAAAAATATCATTAAAACTTACTTTTTGTTGTGATTTGTTGAGTCCGCAGTTTATATCACCTTGTTTTTATATTTCCTCGTTTTAAATATACATATATTGCATATATCCCATCTATATATGTATATATATATATATATATGTATACAATTTTCTTACTTCACAGAAACTATTAGATCATGAAGTTGATAATAATGTTCTTTTTGTGCGAACGCTGTAACATAGAATAATAATTTCACATAAAAATACATATTTTTGATAAATTAGCAGCATATAAATATAGAATGTGCCATATACATACAAAATTATATATTATTAACATTGAGGTCTAAAATTACACATAATATAAACTTAAATATTTACATTTATATTTTTAACTGATTTGAAAACATTAATATATATTTTTATATATATTTGTTATTTAAATCAATGCAAAGATGTGATTATAAACTTTACATGTAATGTAATTAAAAAATTAAATTTTTAAAGTTTATAATTGTCATAAATAATTTTATGTCTGTACAGAACATTCTGTATACATACAAAGTGTTCCAAAAGTCATAAATTTAAGAGCTCGTTAATCATGTTTTTAAGTAAAAAATGTCAATAAACTTATATTTGATTATCAATGTTACTGACATTCAAAACAGTTTTATTAATGCTAGGAATTCCATGATTCATCGTATTGTAATAACTCCATATAATAGTTCTGCTAATCAAAGATAAGTTTATATTGACATTTTTGACTCACAAAAACATTAACAAATCTTTAAACTTAACTGTATATCTTTTGGGACATCCTATGTATATTTTAAATCACATGTAAAGATATAACTATGAACGTAAAGATATAATTATGAAAGATATAAATATATGTATATGATAATAAAAAATCATATAAGATACGTAGCATTCCCTGTTGCTTCAGTATGATATAAACGGAATGAATTATATTGATGAGCTGTGTACATAAGAAATAAAAAAACAAGACAAAATGTAAAAGAAATATCAAAATGTTAGTTTTTTATTACAAATTATTTATACACACCTTGCTATACGCAATATTCCAGTTGTATATGTGTGTCTTTCCTATGTAGATTGTTTGCAAAAATAAATTTATATTATGCTTTTTACATGGCAATACTGCAACACAGATAAGAATAATAAGTATTTTTAACCTTATTTAATAAACTTATGAGAAAATGAACTATAT